TAGCAATAAAAAAAAAAGGGCTATTCGAATTAAAACTAATATATCTCAGACGATAGACACAAAACATTACCCAAACCAAAACTAGTTTTAAAACAAAAGTAACCTGTACAGCAAACCACCAACTGCTAAAAAAAGAATTCTATTTGAATTAAAACCAGTATCTTAAACAGTCAATAGACATGAGATGCTACTTAGATCAAAACTAGTTTTGAAACAAAAGCAACCAGTAACACAAAATCCCGACACCACGGAAGTAACCATAAATCCCTATGATGATATGTTCTCTTCCCCCTCCTCTGTCCTAATGATTGAGAGGGCCCTCCCATGACCAGCAACTTCCCTTTCCCCTACAAACCCCTCCAGCACCTTTTAAGCCCTCTGGGTTTCTAACTCAGGGCCCCAAAAGTCAGTGGTTTGTGAGGTATTCCACCCTATGACCTCCTTTGGCACCTTTTAAGCCCCTGAGTTCCCAGCTCAGGGGGTCTCCCACTAGCCAGGGGTCCCCAGGGCTGCACTCACTCAACTGTCCACACTTGCTTCGGGGGTCTGCACTGACAGCCCCCGTCTCTTTCACACACACTCGCTTCGTACCGCCTTTTACCTTTAACCCCGCTCAAGACTTACCCTGAACACCTTGAGCCCCGCTCCCTCTCGGAGGCTCCGTACACTCCAGGCTGCTATGCCCTCGGTGCTCCTTCAGGTGCAGCTGGCACCTCCTTCCTCGGTCGAGAAGGAATTCAAGCCCAGGCAGCCAAAAAGAAAAACAGCTGGGTGTACACTTCCCTGGGCTCTTCTTACCACGGGACCGCCTCTGGGCATGGCTATCCCAGACTAGTGCCCAGAATTCTGGTAAATGAGGCTCAGATGTTCTTCAGAAGTCAACTCGTTTATTTAGAAACGAGCAACCACTGAGGGCTGAGGACGAGATAAGCCCGACCCCAAACAGCAGTCTGGATAAAGAGTTACAGCCGCACAACAGGCCGGGCGCTTCCTTCAGAAAGAGAGTTCCTCAGGAAGAGCCAGTGCTGGGCACCCCAGAGGTTTTAAAGTCTCTCGCAATGTCGGATTGGTGCGTTTTTCAATCCGCAGTTTGATTGGTCTAAATACAGTCCTTTGATTGGTCTTTAAGATCACGCAACCTCCACCAATCATTTCCAAAACTCGACGCTCCATTGGTCCGTTCCTTCAGCCAATGAGGATGCACACGTCATCTGGGGTTGAGACTTCATTTTCCTAGAAGGTTCCATTCTGCTCTGCCTTCGTTAATCTCAAACCCCTTCTATTGTTCAAAACCGGCTACCTCATGTTTCCGTACACCCGTACAATCATACGCAACAAACAAACATCATTATAACTTTAACTTTCTTAACCAATTAGGGAGTTGCATTATTTATAACATCCGAGACCAGGGACATCATGCTGGCACAAACCACGCCGCTCTCAGCCCAAGAGTCTGTGAGCTGAGCCGTGCCAGGGAGAAAAGACACCGAGGGGCTCCAGCCCAGCTGCTTCACCTGCTGTGACTGTTCCGCAGAGCTGTGTCAGTGGGAGAAACTCGATGCCAGAGGAGCCACTGAGCTTTCATCTGCCCCTTGAACAGCTCTGTGATAGCTCCTGGTTTTTTTCAGTGTGTTGGGGCAAGGCCAGGTTATGCTCAAGGCAAAGGTGTGTCAGTGCACTTGGCTCCTTCTCTCCTCCTTGTGTCTGGCACACTCCGGAGCCCACAGCTCCTGCAGAAACCATCACAGCACTCAGCGGGAGCAACCTTGTGTCCAGTCCTCACAGGGAGCTGTGGTGTCCAGCACTCCACCTCACTGGAATGAGGAACTGTTGCAGCCCCTTTAGAAGGAGCTGAGGAGGTTTGGCCTTCAGATCAGCTCCTTCCCACCTCTTGATTTGCTGCCCTGGCCAAGCTGCTGCTTGTGGCAGCACTTGTTTCACAGCTGAGAGCCCTGCTCTGCTGGCGTGCAGCCATTGCAGGAGCTTTTGCTAGGGACATGGAGCCTTTCAGATCCTCCTAAGGAAAGCTCGGGGCAGAATTTGTCAAAAGATCATTTTATGTGAGATGCTTTTGCCATTAAATCCTTTCTCTGTGCTCCATGCCTCACACAGTTAATATTTGAGGAAACAAGTTTGCTGCTCCAGAAATTCCTCACATCAGTCAGTTTGCCCATACAAGTACACTATTTTGGATGTGTAATTGTGGACAGGGCCCACAGTGGGCTGGGGGTCAGAATAAGGAGTTGACAGAAAGAGGAAGCCAGCAAGATTCCTGTGTGTCCATGAGAAGAAGAGAATGAAGATAAAGGTAGAAGGAAACAAAGAACATCTATGCTGCAAAAAACACCATGGAAAACCAGGATTTATCTGTATTTTTGATTTTTGGGGATGCTTGCTCAAAACAGTGGTTAGACCAATGGACTTGAGGGGTGGTGTGATGATGGCCAATGAGATGGGATGCATTGTGAGGTCAGAAGGCAATAAAAATGCTATGTATGGGCACAAATAAAAAACTTGGAAGAAGTTTCTTTGTGTCGTGTCTGCTCTGACGATGACATGTAATCTCACTTTAATTCATTGTGCAGAAGAACAGAAGAGCACTTCTTGTGATCTGTGTGTCTAACCTAAGTGACCTTGCCTCCAAGAACTTGGAAAAGTGGGGAGAGATGGAATCAGTAGCACAAGGATCTGCACAGTGATTCTCCCACAGGCCTGAGGAAACAGCCCACTTCCACTGGGCCACGGCTTTTTAGCCTACATCAAAACTTCATGCTTCAGATTGTGGTGGTGAATCCCCCCAGCCTTGTCAGGCCACACTGTGACCTGAGAAACGCTGGTTAGTCCTTGGCCTTGCTGAACAGCCCCTGGGCTCAGCTCCTCTTGAGCTTATCAGAAACACTGAGCGCCGCCAGGAACTTGTGCTGTCTAACGAGCTCCTGGGGTTTTCTATGAACAGCCTTGGAAATTACTTTTCTTGCCTGAATGGCATAACATCCTTCTTCTCACACTTTCAAAGGCCGGGTGCTGACCCAAAGTGCGGCCACGATGAAGCATTTTATGACTGAGGCCCACTCTCTTGTGGCCCATGAACAGCGGTCCAAAGGAGGCCCTTGGAGCTCTCCTGGACCACAGGGGCTGCCAGCAGCAACCGCCCTCGGAGTGGGGCCTCTCAGAGCCAGCGAGCTCTCACACTTGCTGCACTCGCAGGATCGCCCATCAGCAATGGATCCTGGGCCGATACCCCCACTCCTGGAGGCTGCAGTTTAACTACTGTTAAGCTTGAGTGCTGTTAAGCTTTTAGGCCATATTCCTTTTTATCCTTGTCCCTTATGTTCCTTTGTCAAACACACCTAAACACACACACACACACACAAAGATAGTTCTTGGTTCATTTCTGGTTTCATTGACTGCATTTTGTTGGTTGCTTTTTTCCTTGTTGTGCCTTAACTGATTTGTAAGTAAGAGTGTGAATGTTGCCAATGAATTTTGTTGAGCTATTGTTTCATATTCAATCTGGTTTTTACCAATAACCTTGCTGGAAAACTTTTAAGCAATCTCAAACACTTGTTTGTAACAAGCTGTGGGAGCATTAGGTACAACCTCGGTTGACACTGAAAAGCAGGAGAGTCATTCTAAAGTGACAAGTTTAATTGCCCATTTTATTACTCTTCTATTTCTTTGACTCTAGGAAGTAAGGCCAAGCTTTTCTTGGAGGCAGAACGTGTGTGAGATGCACTTTGGGATTATCCCATAGCCCTGGGCTGAATGGCACCCAGGAGTACAGACAGATTTGAGGAACCCTCATCACTGGTTGTTGGCCTCACATCCACTCATCCTTCTGCAAACAAGTAGCAAACAACACTGCTGAACTGCTGTCCTGGATAAATATACATACAGATGACTTTTCCAAAGCAGTGCATCTTTTCCCACATGCTCTTCTTACCTATGAAATTGTGATTGAAGACACCTCTGAGCCAGATCGGTGTGAGCTTGCAAAGGGGCAAAGCTTTGGGATTTGGGCACACTTCTCTTTGTTTCTTTGCTCAGGCCTTTTGTGAGCACAGATTACATGCAGGTAGAAAACTTTTGACTATACAGGGTCTTTTGGGTCTATTGTCCCCTGTCCTAGTTTAGGGCAAATTTGGGAGAAAAACTCCAAATGGGGGTTTCCCCAGGGAAAAAAATTCAAATGACCCCTCCCCCCAACTGGTCTGGGAAAAATAATTTCCTTGGAGAGAAGTGGAAAAAGATGTTTATTTAACAGAAATTGAGTAATATTAAACAATAAAACATCTTGTTGTTCGATGGGATGGCGAATCCAGGAAGAAAAGTCCTTTTCCATGTGGTGTAGTTCGGATTGCTCAGGTTCTTCTCAGTCCTTTTGGTGATGGATAGTGCCAAGGCCCAGGCCCCGGTGGGCCAAGGGCTTGAGCTCCTGGGGTTTGTCTAGGTGTTTTTCAGTCCAAAGCAGATTTGTACAGATCCAGGAGAAAAAGAAAAAAAAGGTCCAGGGAACTCCTCTGCCTCAGCTAACTGAAACTAACTAAAAGCCAAAGAGAAGCTCTGTCCCGCTGTCTCTCCGTGCAGCAGAGAGCACAACCCAGGAGCAGGATGCAGGGGGGGTGAGTTTTCTTTCAACACAAGCTGCGTGCTTCTTCTACCCCCCATTGCTCTCAGAGCCAGTCTCAAAGGTGAGAGGCCCAGCGAGGAAAGGATGTGGTGAGTCACTGGGACATCAAGTGAGCTGTACTCTGATAACCTCAGCACATCTCCTCTAACCTAGCAGGTCCTAGTCTCACATTCTATGCTTGTTTTTTTAAAAATTTAACTTACATAACATTAAAAAAAACCCACTGTATCTACAAAAATATATATAAAGAATTAAAATATGTCATCACAATTTAAAAACTACAATCAAAATGTATCCTCAAATGTACATTAAAATATCAGAACACTTCATCCCTACTATACTATATCCCTATACTATACTACTATCCCTATACTATATCCTACATCCCTAACTCTAAAGCCTAAGCCATTAAACGTAGTCTTCAATCAATCTTCGGAGAGGCAGAAGGTTCTTCCTGAGCTCCGAGGAAAGAGGGCTCTTCTGGACGGGAGGCGAGGACTTTGTGGGCACACATGAAGTATGCAGAGAAAATTCTTCGTAAGAGAGGAGCCTATCAGGTCTGCAAAATGGAAACACAAAGTGTAACAGAGAATGCAGTGCAAACCTAAAGCATCTGGAGCTCCATGTATCATGGGACAGATTCCTGCAAACTTCTAAATAGCTGCACAAGGAAACATGCTCCTGCCTGCAGCCACTTGAGGCAGGCCAGGGGACACCCTGCCCCACTAGCACAGAGCTCCCACAGGAACAGCCTGGCCTCTGGGCTGGCCTGGGACAGCAGGGAGCCCAGAGCCCTGGGCTTTGCAGCCATGGCTCAGCTGCACATGCAGCCTCCTGCTCCTGTCCCTGCCCCACAGCTGAGCAGCCCTACAGCTGCACGGGGCACTGGCAGCAGCACAGCTCATTGCAGGGGGCACATGCAGGGCAGAACTGTTCCCTGGGGATGTGCACAGGCTCTCTAGGCTGGCACAAGACCCTTGCTCCTGCCAGAGAGCAGCCCAGCTCCCCCCTCACCTGTGTGTGAGGCTGAGCCCTGCTCAGCCTTCATCTTGTCCTCAATCCGGAGTTGTTTCAGGCCCCCCATGCCTTGACTAGGAAGGGCAGTGGAGAGAGCGGAGGCGGATGCAAACCCTTCCTCAGTATTTTGTCGTTGTTGGCACAGCAAAAATGTCACATCCGGAGGTGTTGGAGTCAGCTCTTCGTCATCTTCCTGGAGAGCATCAGGCCCTCACCAGCCCAAGATGCTGGAGAGGTTTTCCCGCACATGTGGAGGCTGGCTGGCAGCACACTTCCTCAGCTTGGTGCCCATCACCTTGTAGAGGGCAGAGGCAAGCTTGGTGACCACAGTGCGGACATTGGCGCTTCGCACGGGCAGCGCCTTGTTCCCCAGGAAGGACCAGAGCACGGGCAGGGCGTAGCGCTGGACGACTTCAGGGCTCCTGGGATAAACCCATTCCACAAGCACTGCCGGGAGAGAGACACAAGCTTCTTAACCACCAACCTTAATGCAAACAAGGATCTATTTCTAAGTTTTGCCTCTGGCTAAGATCAGAGAAAGAGCACACAGAACCTCTTGAGCCAGAAATGGGCAAAGCAGCTGATCCTCCCAGAAACAGAACCAGCAACCCCCCAGGATTAATTTCTCCCAGCAGGGCCTTGTAGCTCTGGCAGACTTTGTATTTTTATTAAACCATTTCATGATCTGTTTCTGCAGGGATAATGCCTGAATATGACAAATTGCCTTTTATTTCCATGGAGAAGTTGTCTAAACCCACACTAAAAATCTGGACATGCACCGCAGAGAGGCAAATGAGGGATTTGCAATAAAAAGGATGATTCCATTTTTGTGACCTTTGATGTCAGGTGCCAAAAGTCTAATCTGGCTCTTCCCTTTGCTTAGTGGCACACAGCAAAGGGCAGTACTAGACCACACTTCAAAACTCCAGCCCACCAGAGGTGGGTGCTGCTTGACACTTGGAGTAGAAACATCAGTGACTGGCTGGTGTCATTGGCAGAATGCTTTTGTGGCTTCCAACAAACAGCAGTTCCAAACCCCAAGGTGTCTTAGATAATGACCCAGACCCCATTGCCAAGGCATCTGAGCATCTCCACGTTTTAATGGCATTTCCCCTCCCAATGTTAATGGCATTTTTCCTTACAATGGGGAAAGAGAGAGAGAAAACTGTTACCCAGGGGACTGCAATTTAACCAAAACATGAGTGTTTCCTCACATTGTGAGCCTGAAGCATCCTCTCTGCTCGTTTTCTGAACTGAACAATATGAAACACAGAAGAAAACTGAGTATCAACAGGTTCCGTGCACAGCAGATTTAGCTGAGAGGTCAAAAGCTGAAATGGTCTGGAGACCATTCTCATTTTCTAAACAGGCAAAATGTTGTGTAGGAGCCATTTATTACTCTGTGGTGGAAGAGACTTCATTTTCTCTATGCTGTTAATTCACCAGTAGTCATCGACATTTCAACAGCTCCTGGAAGTACCCAAAACCAATGCTTCTAAGTGGGAAAAGGGTTATGGTATCCATTTAAAAACGGGGGTTCACTTGAGTTGAAATGCAACTAAAGACATTGGTCAGTATGGAAGTTGAGAAGAGAAAGAGCTGTGTGTTCCTACTAAATCTCAGAGAGCGCTTCTGCTCTTTCTAAAGTAGCCCTAATTTATGTTTAATTCCTTCATTTGAAAAAGAGATCAAAATAACTGCAAAACTAAACTCCCTCTTCCTGGAGATCTACTTTATTCAATTGCTCTTTAACACACCTTTGACATTCCCAATCGCTGAACATGCCCTTTTGAGATTCACAATGAAGATACAAAGTGTATTAAACCTTGCATTTAAAGATGCTGGCAGAATTAGTGGTGGATTTAGCCCCAGTTAAAGCAAGGCCATAAATCAGCTTCTCCACTATATATTGAGATGATCATGTTTCCATTCCTTGTCTGTTGCTGCCATAGCAAGCTCCTCTGAGGAATCAATTAGCAGCTTCATTTGTAGCATTTTGGACAGCGCTGACATAGGAAGACACTGTTTGCACTCCCTGAAATGCTCAGCCCAATGCCACTTTGACAGCACAGGCAGGGAGCCTGAGCACTCTGCTTCTGCCCCTCTGCCCACAAAGGCTACCCTTGCACTAAATCTGTGCCTCTAATATGTGTGTTGAGTTTTGACCTAAGCTGAGAGCCCCAGGCCCTGCAGGGTTCAGCCTCAAAACCTTCCAAGAGCAAAACAAGGATTCTGTGAGGACAAAACAAACTGATCCCCTGGAACAGCATTTGCCACCACTTTCCCTCAAGGGTCACAGATGCCCCTGAACTTCCAAGGGAGGAGCCAGCTAGGGTATTTTTAGCCCTTCCCTTTCCTGAAGCTGGCTTCTGAGATGTCCCAGTGAGAGCTCAGCCACGAGGCTGAGCACTGCCCCCGTCTCAGATGCTGCACACCACGGCAGCAGCCAGGAAAACCTGCCCAATACACCTGCCATGGGTGTTGGGCAGGAGGGACAAGCTCAGCAGG